AAGAAAAAAAAATTGGGAAAATAAAACATATAAAATATAAAATATAACATATAAAATATAAAATATAAAATATAAAATACAAAATTTAAAATATAAAATATAAAATATAAAATATAAAATATAAAATATAAAAGCAAAATATAAAATATAAAATGTAAAATATAAAATATTAAATATAAAATATACAGTATAAAATATAAAATATAAAATATATAATATTAAGTAAAAATATATAAAATATAACATATAAAATATATAATAAATTAATTTCACTTCAAATAACGCATACGTATGCTCACATTAACATATTTCGAATCAGAAAAATAAATAAAAAAAATCCAGTATACGCACCGTAATCCCCGCTAAATACTTTTGCCTAGCTTAAAAAGTCCTTGTCAAAGTTAATAAAAAGATTTAAATGCCCCAACAAAAGGGCAGCCGTAAGTACAGCGCTTATAAGCGGCTTTGCATGTGATTCAGTGAGGAATTAGAACGCTTAATTAAAATGTGGAAACAAGAGGCCGTTGGCTTTGACTGACAGATGGAATATGATTGAGAAACAGCTTTTACAACCATACTTTAAAGTATATCAATGCGCCATCCATTGCCATATTTCTCCACTTGGCTTGGCAAATCCTAATCTGATGTAACTTAATCAAAGCCTTGTCTATGCGAAAATGCGCACTTATTATATTTAGACACATTTTTTCGTTGAATGATCGATGTTCATACAAATTCGTGTTGAAATTTAATGAACTCTGCAGTCAAATTGAATCAAATATGCAAAAGTCCGTCAACTTGTTGGCCTTTAGTAACAGAGTGAAGTACTCGCTCGCTCTCTCTCTCTCTCTCTCTCTCTTGTCCAACAGCTACTCAATTACTTGTGAATGTAGCTCATAGCTTCTTCAATTTTCTTCCTCTTCTTCAGTTATTATATCATGCTGCTCCTGCCTAGACCAATCAGTCACTCGAGGCTTTGATTTTTTGGGTCGAAACTTTCGTTCAAGCAACAGCAAGCGAAATTTCTTGGCCCATCCGAGTTATGGCCAAAAGGAAAGCAGCAGCAGTTGTTTATTTTGGCTTTGCACTTTTGTTGTGGCAACATTTGTGCAGAGTTTCGAGCCCCAGGTTCGCCCACACCCCCTTGGCTCAACCCGTCAGCCATCAATCAAAGCCCGGCTAAAAACTTGCCCGAAAAATGTACGAAAAAAAAAACGCAACAGTTCGTTGAATTTAATATTGCAAAGGATGCGAGGCAATCAGCTGGAAATGCTGCTAACCCGCTGACCACGCCCACTGGCCATACGTATACACAAATGTGTGTATGTACATATGTATGTGTGCATGTTTCATAATCGTCAACTTGAGGCTTTAATAAAACCAAATTGTGATCAGTCGTCGCAGCGCTGGCCAAAAATTGTATTCCTAATGGATTATTATGTGCGGTGGCTGTGTGAGCGTGGGTGGTGGCTGGAGAGGCTGTTAAGAAACCACACCAGCTGCCACACATATGTGTGTGTGTGTGCGTGTGTGTATGTGTGGGTGTGTGGCTTAAGAGTCTGTTGGTTTTGCACTTGCGAGTTAATTCCCTTTACTTGGTCGTAAACTTTACGCATTCACTGTAATCAAATTATATGAAAATGCTCTGTGGATGGCTCTTTCACCCCAAACCCACCGCGGCACATTGTTCTTGTTCTTGTTGTTGTTGTTGTTGTCTGTGGGTTGAGTTATCGCTGTTCGGATTTCTGTGGCGCTGTGAATGAAAATTTTGCGGCATAGATAATTAAATAATAAATTGTTGTAATGTCTACATTTCGCACACTCTCTCCCTATCACACTCCCTCTCTCTCTCTCTCTCTCTGCCTCTGCTGCTGCTTTCTGCGTGTCTGCATCGCATGAAAAGGCCATAAATGATTTATATGCACATTGAATGCGCCGACAATAGATTTAATTTAACGATGTCTTGGCGTCGACGCCATTTTGGCTTTCGTTCCGCTTGCCAAATGCTTCCAAGTCCTGTTGCTGCTTCGCCTGCAGCCTCTGTCTCACTCTCTCTCTCTATCTCTGTCTATCTCTCACTACTGCTCTTTCTTTCTTTCTCTTACAGTTGCTGCTGTTTGAGGTAATTACGCGTGAATGCGCGACGGGGGAAATGTTGCGGAAGCCATTGGCATATGAAACATCAACATCAATATGCCCCACACACACACACACACACACACACCCACCAACACACACATATGCAATTTCAGATCTAACTCATATTCCATATGAGCAAATTAATTTTACACTAACACTCAACTGTTATATGTGAGTAATGCATGGGAATTAGCTGGCAGAATTATGCATGGAAGGAACTCGGCTGCATTAGTGGAATGTGTGTGCGTATAATTACAACACATCCATGTTTGATCTAGCTCCGATGGCTTAATTGTCTAGTTTATTTGCCTAGAGTGCCCGGAGTAATTTAGAATATTGCATTCAGGCTATTAAGTATTTAGTGGAAGCCTGCCTGCCAAATATCATGGCTGCTGAGCTCAGTGAGAGCAAATGGAGAACAAGATTAAGTATATTTTCTTTGACTGGCATTCTATTCTATTCTATTTCACTTGCATTAACAATTTCTTAATATTAATATTGCACCTTTTTATTAGTTATTAGTTAGTCTCTCTCTCTTTCTCTTACATTTTATGTCTTAATTGCCTTTCGGCTGCAGCGACAACAAAAATATCGCTGCATTTGCACTTTAATCGTTTTATGCGCCATTTTGCCCATTAAACGAGTTTGCCAGGTAAGTGATGCGGCTCTCTCCCTCTCGCTCTCCTGCACAGGCCTTTAGCTGAGCAGGCACTATTTTATTTTCTCATATACACAGCAGCCATCCCACTCGCACACTCTCAGCTGAGCCTGGCATGGCAGCGCCATAAATTGTAGTTGGATCACGCGCCATCACGCTCGCCGTTGCCCGCTTGGACACTGCATTCCGGCCGTGTGCATTCCGTTGTTTAGAAAACTATTTTTGTAACTAGCTGGCATTCCTTGGCTCAGAGCTTCTACTTCTGCTTCGTCGTGGAAGATGATGGAAAGGCGATGCTGTAAAACAGCTGACATTTCACTTTTCTGATGCGATTACGCAGTGGCCGCTAGCTCAGTTGGTTCGAATGAAGAGTCTTGGGGAGAGGGAGACGGACGGAGGGCTAGGCAGTTGCCTGCTACAACACTGTAAATTGCTTACGGTCACGTACCAAGCTGCCTGCTGTCTCTCAGCGCGACAAGAATGTGCAAGGAGGAGAGAGAACAAAGCACCAAAAAGACGGCAAGAGGACAGCAACAACAACAGAAAAACGGAAAAAAATGGTGCCAAACTTAATGAAAATGCCAACGCGTCGCCATTTTGGCCGCAGAGTCACAGTTACGCAGTTTCCCCTCAACCACTCCCCCCGCGAGGCTCAAGGCCTTTCCATAATATGTTATTTTACATGCGTTTTAGCGAAAGTGTTTCCACTGTATGCGCGTGAGGCTGTGTCTGCGACTCTTTCTTTTTGCCTCTGTGTGTGTGTGTTTGTGTGAGAGTGTATTGGCATTTTTGATTTCTTGCTCCATTTTTTCTATTCTTGGTGCGCCATTTTTCTTCTATTTTGCTGGCGTTTGGCATTTGCATATCAAGATAGTGTCATTAAATTTGCATATTTTGGATAAATTTAAATTCTTTGCATGTCTCTCTGCTCTGTTCCATTTCCCCTCCCTTTCACCTTCTACTTCATCTGCTGCTGCTGCTGTTTGCTCATTTTGCTCATTCTTCAAATTTCGCTTGACTTTGTTGAAGCCATTGTTGTTGTAATTTATTGTTGTAGGCATATGCAGAGAGCATTGTTTACACACTGTACGTGTGTGTGCATGTGTATGAGTGGGATAGAGAGAGTGGGTGTCACTTGTTCTGCTTGTTGTCGTCATGCATCATTTGTTTAGTCCTTTAGTCCTTTGTTATGTGCCAATGCCGTGGATGCTGGAGGGGTGATATGCGGGCAGCGGATCGAGGCGTAGACCGGGATAATGCTCATGTGTGGGTGTCGCACTTTTATGTTGCGCACTTGTTGAGAATATTAATTTTATTTAAATATTTCAAAATGTCACCGAGCTGCTGGCTCAACAGTTTCTAGCGAAATTGTGCCGAGAGCTCTGCCCTCTATTTTATTGCGGACTATATTTACGTAATGGGCAAAACGAATCTTTTCTACAAAGCAGTGAAAGTCAAATGAGAAAAGGTCTCAGCCCAATTACAGCTGCAGATGAATGACATTGATATCTGTGATGAATCGCAATCAGTCCCGACTCTGAAATTGCTACGCAGCATACATTTTAAAATTAAATTAACATTAGGCAAATATTTTTGTCAGCATTTGATTTTTATTGTAATCAAAAGAATGCATTGAAAGCGCAGATCCTATTTTAAATAAGCCGCCAAAAGCCCACGACAAAAGCTCGTTGATATGTCACCTCATATGGCACAGCAGCTGCTGTATACAGCATGAGTAGAGCCATGCACACTTATATGCACTCATACATATGCGTTATATACAAGCATACACGTTTAATCAGCTCAGCGCAGCTAGTTTCTATTTCTATTTGTTGAATTATTTAAATTTCTATTTGCGCCGATTGCCTTTTCAAAACAGCAACAACAACAAGTGCACAACGGCAAAAGCAAAACTGCTGCTTATGCCGGGTGCCGGCCCCACAGCTGTAGCAACCGATACAAAGAGGTAGATAGAGAGAGAGAGAGAGACAGAGTGAGCTTGTACAAAGAGCACAAGCAAGCAAGCAGCTGCTGAGCAAGTTAGTGAGCACGCAAACACAATTTTGTCTTTGATTGAGCTCACTCACTGTGTTCAACGCTCAGTTTGGCTCTCTCTCTCTCTCAATTACCGCGACTGTTTTTGCTTTTGCCATTTCTCATCCACCACCTTTTCGCATACAATTCGTTTCGCTGTCGCCGCTGTCGGTTTGTGTGTGTTGCGCTTTTTTCGCTCGCTCGCTGCGCAAGGTATTTTGTCGTTGTAAATTTTTGCATAAATAAAAATTCATTACGCACCCGCAACGAAAAAAAAAAAAAAACAAAACAAACAATTTGTAACACCAACAGCAACAACAATAACAACAATCAACAAGCAGCAACAGCTCAGAGTCAAGTGCAAAGTGCGGTCGAGTCGATTTCTCAGTTTCTGTGTGTGTGGGCGCGCGCGAGTGTCTTCTGTGTGGGTGTGTGTGAGCAAGCCTCAATCTCGTAATCGTAATCAACTTATAACGTGCAACAAGAGCAGCGCACAGCTGACATTCAATAGTAAGCATACACCAATCCCATCCCACCCACCATTAATGCAGTCGCCGTCGTCGTTGTCGTTGCAGTCGACGTCGCTGTCGTAACAATTTCGCCGCGACTAAACAAATTAACAATTTTCAGCTAATTGAAAGCGAACTCGAATTTGTTTCTGTTTTCGTTATCGCATGTCATTGCACTCGATAACAAAAAGTTTAGGTATTGAACATTGCATAAAATTACAAAATAGGCAGCACAAAGCAACCGAGAATAACAGACAGGAAAACAAACGAAAGGCCAACAACAAATAACAGAGGGGCAGTGGCACTCTCCAACTGCTTGACAGTCATGCAAAATAAGTGCCTGTGTGTGTGTGTCTCTATGTTTGTGCATATTTCTAAAATGTTTGAAACGCACTATCTGAGAGAAAAACATAATGTGTTTGGCTATATTTAGCATAGCAATCTAATCAAATAAACCATTGAGCAAAATCAAGCGTGTGTTTCACTTGTTGTGCGTGCTTTGCTTTGCGTTGCTTTACTATTTCTTTTTGTTTTGTTTCATTTTGCTTTTGCCGGCATACGCTCTCGGCTCACTGACGTCTCTCATTCTCTCTTAGGCTCTCTCGTTCAGTTCTGACTGCAGCTGTCAGCAAGCAACAGCAAGAAAACAGCATACGCTTACGCTCTTGAACATTCTATCTCGCTCTTGCTCGCTGTCATTGTCCTTTTGGCGCACTGCAATTCGTATTTTTAATAAGCAACAATAATAATAAGCGTAAGCAACAAATTAATAAAAGTGCCATACAGAATATAGGCAAAGCACATAGCCAAAGTCATTATTGTTGCTGCATTTTGCCGGTCAACGTCTGGGCCATTTGTTTACTTGTGTGTCTGTGTGTGTGTGTCTGTGTGTGTGTGTGTTTGGTCTGGCCCCATAAAAATACAAAATTCTTGGCTGTGAGCTATTTTTAAGCCACACCGATGGTCACTCAGCTGTGTGTGCGCTTGTACTATGTAAAAAGAAATAAGAAAATGATATGCATTATAAAATTTTACACATGCTGCATTGTATACATATGTACATAGCAACATAGTTGCCGCCTTCGAAGCATAAATGGGCTGCAATTAATTACATATTAGACAGAGAGCCAGTGATCTGGGTAGTGGCTCTCGCTCTTACTAACTGACGCATGGCGACGCAATCAGAAGAGCGTGTAAAGCGAAATAAAATATAACAGCTAGCCCAAACAGCTTGAAGCTAAATGCAGTGTTGCCGATGTGCTTGAAGAAATGCTCCTAAATACTAAGCGTAGCGGGAATATTAAATAATGCAGGCATATAAAATTAGATAAATGAATGAATGCATTGGCATACATATAAATGAACATACCATGTATGTATGTATGTAGCGATTTGTTTTGCTAGCACATTTCAGTGCCAGTGTTGCAGTCGTGCTCCTGCATTTAGTACTAAATCATTGACACCGGTCCGACATAAAGTGTCATAATTATCATATCGTTTGCTTTCAACTGTTATACGTTGCCATTGTTACGTTTGCTTATTTGCTTTGCCCATCTCACTTTCCCAATCATCCGTATTGCTTATCAGTTACGTTTAATGTGCCATTTGCTTTGCAGTCGCATTCGTCGCGCGTGAATTTGATTGAGGGAGCAGCAGCAGCAGCAACATTTGCAATGCATCCACGCTATAGCCCCGCGCCGCCGCCGCACCATCAACAAAAGCAGCAACAACAGCAGCCGCAGCAGCAACAGCCAATGGGCGGGCCCCACCACCAGCACCAGCACCAGCAGGTGGTAGGGGGCGGAAACGGACATGGCGGCGGCGCACCTGTGCACATGAGGGCGCCACCGAACTCACAGCAATTGCCGCCGCAGATGCCACGATCACAGAATTATGCAAATGTAAGTGCCTAATGTTTTTATATAGAAATTAGTGTGCTTATGTTATCGATACATTTGTCGATAGATTGACTTTTAATGTGACTACGTAATTATTTATATGATTTATGTATTGCTGTTTATATAAAAAATGATTAAGTGTTGTAATTGAACTGTTATTGATACATCAAACTTGTTTTACTATCTGGGGTGTGTGTAAAATTAATTTTGATTGTGGTTAATTGGGTTTTCGAAGAGTGAAAGGCTAATTGCAGATATTTATGTATATTGTTATCGACGTATTCCCTCTACTATCCTTCTACCCTTAGTCTTTACTCTGCCTGTAATCGTAATCGTAAAAAAGAAGAATATATATTGCTTTCCTTCTTATAGCTTAAATAGACGCTTGTACGCAATCAGCTCCACAATGAATCAGTCACTCGATCAATCAAATGCATCACTGCATCAATCAAGCAATCAAGCTGGCAACCGCGCAGTCACTCATTCATTCACTGGCAAAACTCATTCATTCAAAACGGTTGGCGGTGGCCCCTCTGCCCCTCTGCCCCTTTGCCGCATTTGCTTTTGCCTCTTTAACTGATTTCAGACTTCTGATAGCGCACGATAGTCTCGCTTTTGGCCGCAAGGGGGCGCCACACACACACACACACCCACACCCACAGTGCAATCGACATGTGTCATACGCAGCGTTGGCCCATTTGAGTGGAAAATTGCTGCTGCTGCTGCTGCTGTTGCCTTGCCACGGCAATGATACGGATTTCTATACTGATGCCACACTGACACACACACACACACACACATGCACGCACACAGTCGCATATTCAGCCAGCATATCAATTTCCGACACTTGCAGGCCACACAGCCTGCCTAATCTTAGCCAGCTGCCAGCTTACCTGCAATCATTACTCAAATAAATCTAAAAAATGGCTCAGCTCTTCTTTTCCCCTCTCTCTCTCTCTCTCTCTCTCTGTCTCTCTCTATCTATCTATTATTTCTTTTTCTGCTTCTTCTTTTTGCTGTTTTGCCTAATTTGTGTGTAGATTTCATTGCATAATGCTCGGGCATATTTTATGCATCTGCAAATGGCTAAAAAATACGCACAAAGGCCGTTTTACATTCTATAAGCTGTTCGGCCCAACTTCTCTCAGCTCTACTACCTCTATACATATATATACATATATCTCTGTGTATTATAAACTATTCAGTAATGTTGCCGCACAATGCGGCGGGCAACTCTCTGGCTGCGTTTTAGGCATTGCCATGGCACCGTCCATTCCGTCCAGCCGTCTCCTCCTGCGCCACCTGCGTGTCCTGCTGAGGCTCTGGCTGCTTGCTTTGCTTTGTGGCGACGTCTATTTGGCATCCTCTAATGGCCGCATGGCGTTGCTTTTGCTTTTCACGAGCGTTCCATTTAAATAGCTTTCAGCAACAACAACAATAATGCCAACCACATCAAAATAAAAATGTAAAACTGCAAAAAAATAAAGAAGCAAAATAAAGAACGGAATATATATAAAACAAAATTGTAAACATTCCCGCTTAGTCAGCGCTGAAGTTTTCACCTGGCCAAAACAGTCTCCATATATACATTACTATACCTATATATATCATACTCTTCTATGTATATATATGATAAATATATATCATTCTGCTCTTTATATGTATTGTGAGAAAGCTTAAGGCATTGCGCTTTCAATTGTCTATGGCTTCGAGTATTTGAATTTAGCTTTGAAGTTGTTGTGGAGTAACTTAGGTAGTTGTGAATAACTGTAAAGAATCATGAGCTAACAATTGACCATCAATATGCCGATTTAGTTTTCTCAGTCTGCGCTCTTTAAAGTCAGTTTTCATAAATATATAAAATTCGTTAGCCGTTGCTATTATCATTTAATATATCAGCTATTTGATTCCATATCTGCATTCGAGCTGAGCTCCAAAAAAGCATACATACTCACCTTCACTCTGAGCAAGAACATTCGTGTTCTTTCCGCTTTCGTCTTTAAAGAGCGTCGTTTCGTGAGTGATACGATTTACGCTCCCTGAATGAGGATCCATGAGTGAATGATTACCGAAAAAGACTCCCCTTTCACATGCACATGCACACACATACATATTCAGTGAGCTCTACTCATGCTCTTTCTGCTCAAATACCAATACATATAAATACAGAAAAACCCGAAGAAATGATCGTTGTCTTTGAAAATCATTTGCAGACATTTTTCTCAGTGTGACTGAAAAGTCTTATATGCATACTCTGAGAAGCACTTGACGCATACTTGCTAACTCTTATTCGATCTCATATTGATGGTCTGTGTGAAATGATCCAAGCAACACAAATTCTATTTCATATATACTTAAATTACAATGAAGATTTCGACTTGCTTATCTCTCTTTCTCTTAACGACTCAGACAGCAACTAATCATATAATACTCTATATATATGATGAGATGAAATTGTATAAAATATACTGAAACAGCTGAACGATCTAACAAGTCTTAAACATACTAATAATAATAATATATCATAATTATATAAACATATTTAATATTATTAACTATTCATGGTTTATCATTCGATTCCACTCGCTTCCACTCTCTTCTCCCGCAACTAAAACTGACCAAGCAACTCTTTGCAGTTTTCTTTTGTTGTTATTGTTGCTATTCTTGGCATCCCTCTTCACCTTGTTGCATGCCGTGTTTTTTCTTTTATTCCCGCTTGCCTCATTTTCGATGCGCCAGCTCTTGTTTAAGTTTTGCCACCAAAAATTTGAGTTTGCTGCTCAAACTTCAGCGTGAGTGAAGGATATTTGAGTTTGAGCAAGTTCTTCAAGAATAAATATATACACAAATATATATATAAAATTATATTTGATTGGGCGCTGGCTGAACGGAACTGGTCAGTTGTTAGGCTATGAATGGTAGAGCACGTCGTAATTTCTGATTAAATTCAATGTTGACAATTACCAAACGCAAAGTTGTTAAGGTAATTGCGGCTCGCGTAGGCCGAAATGCATTTCAATTGGTTACGCCTCGGCATTGGGCTGGACGCGAACGTAAGGGAAACCAAAAACGTGTTGCCTGAACTCGACTATGCCCTCTCTCTCTCTCTCTCTCTCTCCCTCTCGCTCTATCCGTCTCTCTCTCAGTTTCGTTGCATGCGTCGCTAAGGACGCCGTCGATTGTGCAGCCCGCTGAATGTAGCCGGCGGGGAGTCGTGCAACACACACGCCTAGTGCGTGCAACGCATGCGCCGGCTTGTGGATTCTGCAAAGTCCTGCGAAACGGCTTTTGCCGGCTGGCACGAGCGGCACATCGGGCGGAGCCGAACGCTGGCGCCGACTGGCTGCCAAACGGCTGGGCACAAGTTGAACATGCAACCTTACTCAATGAGAAATTCAGAATCCATTCGACGATTGTCAAGTTAAGTTAAACGCCTTTTCCTCATTTTCGCAAAACGGAAAGCGAACTGTAAGCCAGCCAGCCAGCCAGCCAGTCAGCCAGCCAGCAAGCCAGCAAGCGAGCCGCCAAAGCCAAGCAAAGCCGAGCCGAAGCTGAAGCCAAAGCCAAAGCCAAAGCCTAGTCAAAGCCAAAGCCAAAAGCCAGTCAAGTAAAGCCAAGCCAAGCAGAGCCAGTTGATCCAGCAGTCAAGTTCCGACAAGTAGTCGCCATTTTGTGTTTGCGCCTCCCAAAAAAATCAAATAAAATAAAAACAAAATTATTAAAATATCAAATTAAATAAAAATTAAATATTTATTTAATTTCAAAAATTAATTAATTAGTTTCGTGGCGTATACGTAATATTCGAATTGTGAGTACATTCTGTCCATAGTCGATGCGAAAAGTGAATGCACTGTGAACTGAGTGTGTTTTGAACGTTGTCCGGGCAATCCAGAAAGAAGCATAAATCAACAAATTACCAGTATTATTTACAACAACAACAACAACAATTGCTCAACGCTAGCAACACGAGAAATTGGCTAAAAAAGGTCTAAAGTCCCTAGAATTGTATTTCAAATACAAAATCGTGAAAGTTTAAATAAAAAAGCGCAAAATAAATTAATTAAGAAACGAGTTTTAAACTCTAAAATAAAAAGTTTAAAAATATTTCCTTAATAAACGTTTTAAAAATTATTTCAAAAAAAAAAAACTACAGTATTATTTTAATAAAAAATATTTCAATTACAAGTTTTTAAACAAAAACAAGTTTTCCTAAAAAAAATCAAAATTTTTTAAAGACCTAAGTGTTTTAAATATTTTGTGCATAAACAAAAGACAATAACACAATTGACTTAAAAATTAATTAAAACAAAAAAAAATCTAGCGCAAATTGTGAGTGAAAAACTAAAAGAAAAGAAATAAAATATATTAAAAAAAAATAATAATAATAATAAATAAAGATTAAAGCTTAAAATAGAAAATTTAAAATAAAAAAAAAAATAGTGAATTAAAAAAATATATATATATTTAATTAGCGCAAAACTGCAAGCTTAGCTTAAAAAATATATTGAATTAAAAATTTGCATATTTTAGTCTCTGTGTGCTTTAGTAACTATAATTGTTAAACATTTCAACTTAAAAAAAAAAAAAAAAAAAAAACTCTTCAGTGTTCAATGTTAGATAAAAAAAAAACAAAAATATAATTAGTAAATGTTTTTAAAACAAAAAAATAAAAAAGTCAAACGTTTAATGAAAATCTTAGCGCAAATTTAATTCGAATTTGTTCGTTGTAATTAAAGCAAATAAACAGCAAACAGAAGAAGAAGAAGAAGCAAGCAACCAAATTAAATACTTGAGGCTAAAGGCTATAGCAACAACAGGCGCCAAACAAACAGCGAAAGCAAAACAGAGATAGAGAGCTAGCGAGCGAGAGAGTGAGAGAGAGGGAAGGCAGCGAAAAGTGGAAATTAATTCACAATCAACGTGCACATCAATAGCCATTAAAATTGCGTCAATCAAGAGAAAAACCTCACCGCTGCCCACAACAACATTGACGCTAACTAATT